ATTGACGTTCCTACTATGTAAATCTGCATTATGCAAAACTTCCAAAGCTTGCACACTTACTATCTTTATTTTGGTTGAGTTTGTCGTAATTTAGTTGTATATTTGCACCACTGTGGAAGAAGACCCTGATGGTTAAACAAATATTGTCACCATCATCTTCAAAATCATGGTATATCTTTCTGGTCATTTCTGGAATTTCCTCAAACTTTGAGTTCTTTGAACACTATATATAACAATTACAATTGCTAAGGATAAAAGTCTCAGCCTCTTTGCTGGACCTGATATCAGGAATATACAAGTCCAAGTCCAATCTGTCAAATTAGACATGATATGTGTACATGAATTGAGACTGTTTAAATTCCTATTGGTGACTGACCTTTGCTGCTTGCTGGGGCCAGGCTTTGAGCAGGTCATGATTCATCCCATGATGTCACTTTTGGGGAAAAGGGATTCTAAAAGCAACACAAAATTTTCATGTTTTTTACAAATATTTTCTTTTATTATATTTTGTTCTGGTTCAGTCTCAAGACGATAAACTGGTATGGCTAATTAGAAACAAAATAATTTGTGAGTTGGTACTGAGTTGGTTGGTTTGTTGTGTAACACAGTACTAAGCAATATTCCAGCTATATGGCGGCGGCGGTCTGTAAATAATGAGTACATCTTGGTGGTGGCGCGTGGTCCTGTGCTCAAAGCTCAGGTCACAAATTGGTGAAGTTAAGCAGCGTCGAGCTCGGAGAATCCTTGGATGGGTGACCGTGTTTGGCAGCTTGACTTCTGAGAGTTTCTAGGACATGAGTCCTGCCCCACAACAAAGCACATGTGACCCATGTGGTCTCACCTTAGGCAAGTGAGTTTGTTCAAAATTGTCTCTGTTCACCCAGCAGGAAAATGGGTACCCGGTGGAAAAAAGTCATATGACTATAACCTTCTAGCGCGCCTAACAGGCAGCTTGGGTTATCTGGGGTAATAATGTGCTGTGCCTTGATTGTTAGCGCTATGAGCATACCTAGTGTGGAGTTTGGCGCTATATAAATGGACACATTATTATTATTATCTTTGAGAGGAAGTTAGAAATAACGTCATGAGACCTTGGGATGAAGGTTGCTTGTATTTTGGAATATTGATGTCACAGACACAGTGTTTATTAAAGGTCACATGCAACGTAAAACACAACTTTGCAGATTCTGATACCTTTCAGTATGGACTTACCGAAACAAAGCGTCAAAAATGCAAATTCAACTTACAAAGTTGAAAAATAACGCGATGAAAAAACGCGCGAAATCGGAGTTCAAACGTTTCACTAATTTTCCCCAGACTTTTCTGGGGAATACGGGTTTCAACAGCTGACTGCGCTCATAGCACGTGCGCAGTGAAATAGGTTCGAGCAACTTGGAAGCGGGCTGTCTGGTGAATACTCGGTGAAGTCTTTGGTGTGAGCTAGTTTCATAATGTTTTGTTGATATCTCACAGGCGCGAGCTTTTTGTATGTTATGACAGTAAATAAACTGTTTATATAATTTCATTTGTCTATTTCACCACCTGCTTTTCTTCTCGAGTCACTTTCTCAGTTCGATACTTAAAAGCATTATTTAGAGTTGACACGATTTCTAACTGTGATATAGATATGTCGCTGTCACAGACAAAACTCAATGTCTTGTTTTATTGACATCAGTGTGTCTGCCTGCCTGTCTGCTAATGACAATATCCAATACACAACTGCGATCACTGACCACATGCAATTTGAACTTAACACCAATCAGGCTATACACCATGAACAAAACGCAATGATTTATGGCCCGAGTTCGGTCTCTGTCACATTATGTAATTACACAGACAGGCAGGTGTGATACTTGAACACATGACATGTTATGATGTCTGTTGATTGCAAAATGTTATACACAAAAAATGAGCATGTATTTACAAAAACCCAACTTTCTATATATACACACACAATGACCCGTGCAGGCGGCATCTGCTAATGAACCAGCCGTTACACTTGAGTGCACACCCACCCGCTCTGACTGGGTTCGGTATCCCGGCTGCTTCGTTTCGAGGCAGGTAAACCCAAGTACAAAATATTGCACTTTTGATTTGCGATTATACGCTTATAATTTTGTTTATTTGTTTTTTCATAATCAGCAATGCATATAATATGTCATGAAGAAGTGATAATTGTGTTTTAATTATGTTTGATTTTTGGGTTGCATGTGACCTTTAAGTTGACTACTGTAGTAACTTGCTAATACCCTAGGGTCACAAATGCACGTTTCTGTACTTCCAAACATTGTTTTGCATGCTGTTTGTTTGCTTCCTACAACTAACGTCTAACTCTTCAGTTTGTTTATTTTCTGACAGAGTAAAGCATCAGGGGGCATTGCACTGCTGCAAGGCGTCCATCATGGCCGGCCCACCAGGGGAATGTCAAGCTGTCCACAGCTTCTATTTAAAGTCCTAGTACCTTGTCTGAAAAACTGAAACATTGTTTCTTCAAAAGTGTTGGTTAAAACTTCAAATGTAAATATGGTTTTGAAAAACATGCTTTGATTATATACTGTCTAGATACTCATTTGGAATTGGTGGGGATTTTTATTAAATTTTCAGAAATTTTTATACCCAGTGACACCAGAAAACATGGTTATGAAATATATGCTATTGATTATTTGATGACTAGATGTAATTGGTTGTTTTGCGAATGAAATGTTTCAGGTATCAAACACTCAATAATACCTGCAAATATGAAGACAATTAACCCTTACTGATTTGTAAAATGAAAACATTTCAGCACCTTTTCAGTACTCTTTCTCTGCTTGAACTCTTGTAGTCTGGTCATTCATTTGGAATTGATGGTGTTTCGCATGTTCAGTTTTCCAGGTATCAAATCCCAGTAACACCTTGTAAGAGTGAAATAGTAGAATAGCTACTGTCTGTAGTCTGCATCCCAACCGCTTTATCATAGCAATAACAGTCCTAAATCGTTCAAGAGGCTTTCTAACCCTGTAGTCAGGGTAAGATTTCCATTAATATGACCTCAAATTAAATAAAATTGACTTTGCGATATTTTCCTTATCATCTACGAAGACTGTGTCAGGAAAATATCCATTTGTGAAACTGGTACCCAGCTATATGTGCTTATCTTACTCCACGCAGTGACCATGTTTATGGGAACTGCCTGGTTCGCAGGGTAGGATTCTGTGTACAGAATGAGCAGTTACATCCTGGTCCTAATAATCATCATCATCCATCATCATTCAGGTTTCATAATAACCTTAGTGGCATGGATAAGCAGAGTTGCTTCCCTTAGGTATTGGAGAAATATTTGATCACAGGTTTGAATCCCAGTTCTCTGCCTCTATAGGTTTGTCTGCACCATACCTGTTGTACAGTGGAATAAACATGATCAGAGCAGATCTGAAAATGGTAACTGAAAACTAATCAACTAAATTTCGAACACTTACCTTTTACCTAAACAGGGAACTAAACATGACAATTATTACAAGCGAGAAAACTGTGGTTGATTTATAATCAACTAAACGTGATTCTGTTAAAGTGAAGAAAATGAACTTTGAATGAAACGTCCAAATACCACTAATTGTCTAACCTCTTAACACTACAACATTCTAGATACAAGTACACAATGTATCGCCCCAAAGACACTACTCTAACGCTACAAGATCAAAACGAATCATTCCTACAAGTCTAATGCCTAAGAACGAATGTGCCTGTGTATGGTTTACCACCATCTTATATACCCTTAAACAACTTCACATTTCATGTGCACTCATACTCATCTCCGGGTGTATTCAAGTGACACAACCAGTATATGAACATCCAAAATGTCTTCAGAACAATACCTATGCTAAGGTCAGACCAATTTTATTTCTTGTTTTACGGATCCGCCTATCGTATTTTTTCAAGAATAAGAAAAAAAAAAGAAAAGAATTTTCCCCGCTCAAAAATAAAATCCTAATGTTTTTATTGGCCAAACATGTAAACATGCAAGAAATTTTGTTTTTAGATTGTTTTTTGCCCCATATACACTTCATAAATTGCCAAAAGTACCATACTTTGAGTATTTAGAAGGAATATTACATTGACTGGTGATTTTATTTGTATTTTTTCCCTCCTGCCTTTAGGTTTTCTGAGGACAAAAATCCGTAAAACAAGAAATTAAATTGGTCTGGCCTAATGGGTTTCTTCAAATGGTCAAGGGTCAGGCTTTCGTGACATTTCAAGCTGACATTGTGCAATATAACTGGACTATTTTTCAAATTAGTTTAAAACCAAACTCAATGACTTATCAACACTGGAATGGATGGCACTGCAGAATAATGGCTATTTCTCACAAACTGCCCAAATCTTGATAACACGTTAGCAAAACTGAATAGACACAAAATTCCACTTGACCCGAAGGATATCTTTAATAACATCAGGCAGACTGCAACTCTCAAACATTATTCCAGATACTACAAGTTAGGTGTGGGTATTGCAGGGAATTTTCATGTTGCGATATATTGCGATGCGAAAGCATGTATTGCGATATGTATTGCAATATATTTCAAGAAGTTTTTTATTAACAAAAAAACCTACTTATTATCGAATTAATGCTTGATATATAAAGCAAAAACACAACAAAATCACAATGCTTGATTAGGCTTTAATAAAAACTTTCAATCATGACAAAATAAAAATGTAAATAATGTTTGGCACAAATAAAACAAGGAATTGAACAATTTAGATTTCCGAATGCATGTCAAAGTACTGGTTTTCGATCAGCGTATCGCAATACGTATCGTTTTCATATCTGAACCGGTAAATACCGGTAAACCGGTTATATTGCGCAGCCCTACTACAAGCTGTAGGAAATACCCCTGTGCTGGGCTGTCCATGTTGGATGCTTAACTCATAGGGATAACAGGCTTCATTCTGGTGGGAGTGGTTTTGCCCTGACTATGTATTGTTGACTGTTAATCATCCATGTTCCTCCCTTTCTGATCTAGGTCATTAGCAGGGTGAAGAAGTCCGGATTTTCTGTTCCTGAGCTTCAAGTCCGCAGCTACAATGAGAACGAGTTTGCCATATTACTGAACGACGCCGCTACCGTGGCGCTGTCGATTGTGGATCAGTGTGTGCGAACGTTTGGCAAGGAAGATGTGCTGTACTGATTGGCTGCTGTGCTGGCAGTTTGAGTTGTATGAATGTGTTGAAATATGCTCCGTTACGAACTTCATGGAAACATGAATAACAGATCATATACTTGACGATTTAGACATGGGGGTTCATAATGGTTGTTGGATCTGAAGTTCAGCAATGTTTTGAAAACTAAAGTCAGAAGGATATTATATCAAGATAGATTCTTTCTAGTTTGAGGGAAGAGGACTCCAAATATTATCGTCTTTAGTTTCGCAAAAAAACTGGAGCGGATTAAAACTGATAGGAAATGGACACAGTTGACAGTTTTTGTCATGTTCAAGCAGGACTAGCTATGAACTCTCAGGGCAAGTCAAATAAGTGTTAGAAACATAGGGTTTATTGTAAGTGGACAGCTCTTCATGTCATGTGATGCTTGTTGCCAGTGTCCTGAGATATTCCTGGAATATTTCACCCAGAAGTGCCAGCCTGTACCATTAGAATTAAGTGTTACATATTTTCAATTTGTGTACACAATATCAGCGGTAATTTTGACACAATCTGGCCCTTGCTGCAGCCAATGTCATTTTAAATAGCAATAATGAAACAGCTGCTTAGCTGGAGAAGGTTCACACATTAGGAGTTGTCGGGTCATAGATGGCATTGTCACACTATACAGCAAGTTATGCCGGTAGTAATTTCATATAATTGAGTAACATTACAAGTTCGAGATCCCAGTAAGCCCTGATATTTTCTAATTGCCTCAGTATGGAGTTGGTATCTGAGGACAAGCAGTTTTGTATAATCATAGGGTACACTTGTACATGATCAACAAATGTCGGAACAACATTAATTATACTGAACACCTTCTGTTTACTGGATTGTGTTTCAATTCTCACCTTTCTGATTAGTTCATCTATTAGAGTGCGCAAATGGACATAATGCTGTTCAGTGTGAAGTTTGTAGCTGGTTTAGAGACATCTTTAAACTGAAAATATCTGTAGTTTGGAGAGTCATTATTGTCTTATATGAGGAATTACTTACCGTCAGTTTCATGTTTTGTTTGGTTAGGCTAAAAAAACAAACTGTACAATAAAGTTCTGTGCTGGAAGGGGCGGTGGGGTAGCCTAATGGTTAAAGCGTTGTCTCGTCACGCCGAAGACCCGGGTTCGAATCCCCACATGGGTACAATGTGTGAAGCCCATTTCTGGTGTCCCCCGCCATGATGTTGCTTTAATATTGCTAAAAGCGGCATAAAACCAAACTCAGTCAGTCAGTCAGTCTGTGCTGGATGTATTCAGGTTGAAATCAAGCACAAATGTTTATTCAAAATGACACTCTCCATTATGATAAGGATTTGATATAATTTATGGTTCGTTTTCAAAATATTGTGTATTTTATTCATTACAATTGTGAATATTGTTTTGTGTCAGTATCTGTGTTGTCTGTAAGTTATGGCTGAATTCCATATCGAAGAGCTGCACCAACTGTATGAGAGTACAACAAAAAGTGAGTTCTAGCTGTGATTGGTTATAAGATGGGCACTCATACTTCCCGTCCAGCTGTTAATTCTGTCCATGTGTCCAACAATGACCAGTAGTGACCCCACACCAAATAGTAGTGGTCACAAGATAGCTCCATCAGCGGAATATTAGGCTGTAAACATGCTCATTTTACCTTCTGGATGAGTTATCTCCCCTGAACAATTGATGCACGCTCAGCATCACAGATGAGGAAACTTGTATTCATGGTAGATATTTTGGAGATTTAGTAAACATTAGTTCACTCACAAATCTGATTTATTGTTTTCCCCTTTGGATTCGAAGCCCCATTCTTGGCACATTAAAATTTGAAAACTCTGAAAATTTGAAACATTGTTACGAAATTTCACACTAAAATGACTGGCATCCTGCATCTTGTATTTACTAAATGTTTATCACTTTTGTTAAAGATAACAGACAGTTTTGACTAAACTCCATCAAAGGATAATTCTTTGAGATAATGAGAGAAAGATGACTATGAGGAAATCGTGATTCAAATAGAAAAGTCCCATTATGAATAAACCATTGTTATATTTGAATTATATAAAAACAGCAACATGGGTTGAGAAACTTAATGACTAACATCCTAAATCTCTAAAAGAGGCTCTCTTTCAATCATTTCTGTAACATTCAGTGTTGTATTAATGTTAAAAATAATCTAAGTGCTGAGAAAAAGTTGTTACATGTCTATAACACGACATTGCATTTCAGTTTTTATATAAGTTATTGTTGAAATTATTCAGTTCAGAAAGGGCTTTTAAATTACACCTCGGCATTTACTTACTTCAGTGTAGTCAGCTGTTTGTATAGCAGTTACAGCCAGTTTTACGTGTGTAATATTTCTTTATGCGTGAGTGAAATCTGCTGTCATGTTTGATTGCGAGGTATTTTGAGAGTGGCGATACAAGACAAGGGTTTGTGTTGTTTATAACACGGAGTGTTATAATGTCTTCATAATAATTATGAATATATTCAATGAATCTCATTGTTTACATAAATGTATCTTATGCTTGACATATATTTTTTTAGCTCAAATTTACTTTACAAACTCTATGTGATACTCAATTGCTTGAACTAGTTGTGTGACAGATAGCATATAGTGCCTTCTTGCAACTGATTTTGAGCACAGCACATAGTGTTGTATAGCTTTGACTACATGTAGAAGGATGCATATCATCTGTAGTACTTGGACTTGAACAATACTGCAATAGCAAAAATTGTTTTCTGCTGATGTGGTTCGTTGATCTGCCAAATCAAAATTACAAAGAATAATTATAAGCGTTTGTTTTATCAGGTTGAGTTATATTGTATAACTTCCAACCATTACAAGTAGGTCCATTCTGGAAGTAAAGTTACCTTTTGTTTCTGTCTCAGGTGAGTATGTATTTGAAAATATGGTTTCAATTGTATTTTGATTTTGGCCATTTTTATAACATTTGGTAAACCAAGACATTAAGCCAGCACTACAAAAGATATTTTGCAAAACAGTTTGGTGAAGCAGTACATATCAGTTCAAGCATATCATTGTTTTGTATTGGTAGCTGACGACGCAGGTCTTTTGAGATTGTTTCCATAAAATATTTCATCCATGCTTCTCATATTCATATATATTTCGTCCTTTCAAATGATTTATGTTCGTATTATTTATTCTTTATGATTTATATTTTGAAGAATATTTATATACATATGTGAGTACTGTGTAATGTTTGACAGTATCTTGGCGTCCTTTGGTAGACAGATGAAAGGGTATTTGTTTTCAAATTCAAATTACCGCTGTTTTATATTGAATATTTGTTCAGTAAAAAACAACTTTGGTTCATTAATTTGATTGGATTTTGTTTGTGAAATAAGATGCAGAAATTTAGAAAAATATTAGTGAAACGACAGTTGGTGAGATGACAATACCTGATAATGATGGTAACGCAGCACAAATCTATTGACTACGTATATGACATTACTGTCAATGTATCTAGTTGTGTAGAGGAATCATTCCGGTACAGGTCCATTCTCACAGTGCGACTTGTAGTGACAACTTGTCGCATACGACTTGTAGTAACACCAAAGATTTTGTTATTTTTGTACTTTTTATGTCGTATACAACTTGTATCTCGCGCGATTCTCACGTATTACTCAACATCATGGATTTGTCAAGTGTAGGAAAAACACTAGCCTTAATGTCCGTCTACATACCGCAGTCAGTAAAAAAGAAGGAGAGAAAGCCTTAATTGGTGTGGGTCCTCAACTGGACACAGATCTAAGTGATTTGATAGGTCGAGAGCTTGCGACTTGTGGTAGGAATTAGGACAAGTCCCATGTCTTACAACTCGGCTGCGACTAGATGTATGCGATTTCAAATAGTTACGATTTGGTTCTTCTCACGTTGCAACTGTGTTGTAAGCTACAAGTTGTTGCTACAAGTCGCACTGTGAGAATTCACCTTATACAAATCAGCTTGTGTTAAACTTTGTGTTTCATTCTGCTTTAGTGAATATTCTTGTCTGAAACAGTCTTTAAACTTGTTTTACCTGCACATGTAAAAGTGGGCATTGATTGTTTACTGTTGATTATATTATAACTGTCTGACTTTGCATTTCATCTTTTTATCCAAATATTTCAAGGAATTTGAGATGTGGGCATTTTTATATGTTTTTGAGCCTTTCAAAATTTTTGATTTTTTACTCGCAATTTTTTGAGTCAGCGGGCCAAGTGAAAAGATACAAGATGAAAAAAAAATCTCTTGATAAAAATAATGAATCTATTTTTGAATATTTATGTTTGGGTTAATGAGACATACAATATATTGCAGCCATGTTAGATAATCTTGTCTTCTCTCCTTATTCTGTCATTCACTGAACCATTATCACCCGTGGATCATTTTCTCTTTAATATCTATCTCAATTTTCTACATATTCTCCATGAGCTGAGCTTCATGACTTCCTTGCTGTAATAGATCTCTGATGTCCTGTTACAGATCTTTGGTGTGTTTATTTATTATTTTTATTGTTTTTTTCCCTGTCAGGTGATAAAGAGAACGAAAGGGTCGGGCTTTAAACGGCAGGAGATGCACACAGATAAAGACACCGACAATCAGTTTATGATGCATATGAACAATGCGGCCTCGTCCGCACTACGCATTGTTGATCGGTGTATTCACAAACATGGAAGGGAGGCAGTCTTGTACTGATTTCCACACAACTAATAATCAGACCTATTGGCTGCATGATTTATTTACATGCTTGGGATGCATTTTGTACTATTTTCCATACAAATGCTTATGCTACCTGTTGGTCGGTCCGCCAGAGCTGGTAACACTGTTATCCCCAGAATTATGTTAAAAATCAGCTTTACCCCATAATCTATTTTTATCAATACCTGTCATCTTGTAAGGGGCACAGGTGTCCCATGCATGTTCTGCAATTAGCTGGGCAGAGTTGCATTCCTTGGGCAAGCAAGAAACTGTGGGTTGAAATCCAGATTAGAACCAATAATGTTTCAAGATTTGTCAGACCCATGTTTGCAGCTCTCACAGAAGTGATAAATGTTGGAGAACTTCGTCTCTTGTGATTTTTCTGCCTCATGGAGTCACATGCTGTAATATAAATGAAATACTCTTGAAAGCAGCATGTTTGTTGGTCTCACAGAAGTGATAAATGTCGGAGAACTTCGTCTCGTCACTTACATGCCAAACTGAGAATAACTGGCTAGAATACTGTGAAAGCATCGTTGACCCTGCTCACTCAGTATTCAGGTTCTGGCTGGTACATATGCTTATTTGATCAAATACCCGCAACTCCATGATGTTCATATTACAATGAAAACAATGGTATTTTTTATGTGTGTGTCTGATTTTCTGTGATTCTGTTATGGTTGATTGTCTATCAGTGATTTGTTTCTGTAATCTTTCTTCATTTGATTATTATGAAATAAGAACTGGCAGATAATTGGAAGATTGTCCAAGATTGCAGGAGATTCCACTACATCATAGTCTCTGTGGAATTTCTGGCCAGCGTAATGCCATATTGGTCTCAGCAGCTAAGTGTTGTTGGGTGGTCAAAATGACCACTTTGGATGGATACTACTTGGAGTGAGTGTGGATGTTAGCAATATTCCTGCAATATCACAGCAGGAAACACCAGAAATATTGTGGGGAATAGAACCCGGGTCATGGGCATGACAGGCAAATGCTTGAACTACAATGCTACCCCACAGCACCTGATAGATATTAACTTGGAAGATGACAAGGTAAGGTCATCATCCGTCTTCTTGCTGGCAGATGATGTAATGGCTATACTGTGAAACACCATTCAGAGTTGCTGACCAACAGTGGACTCTTATGATAGCAGAATAAACATATAATGTTTAGATCTATTACTCATTTACATGTCAAGATGGAGCTGTGACGGGGTAGCTTTTATGTTCTCTCGTTCACTCGTCACGCTGAAGACCCAGGTTTAATTCTCCACATGGATACAATGTGTGAAGCACATTTCTTGTGTCCCCCATACTGATATTGCTGGAATATTGCTTAAAGCAGCATGAAACCATACTCACTCACTCACTCTTGATGTAGA